ATTTGGTAATCCTCAATGATAATTTGATAATCCTTTTGATAATCCTCAATGAAAAAACCAAATGGATCACAACATCCAACCATGCCACTATTTCAACACACCATAACTACACCGATAGAAGCATGTAAAAGATAGGATCTCAATCGAGTACTTTCAGAAAACAATGCGAATGATTCTGATGAGTGCACTTCTGGCCGCACGTCCTCACATCAATGAATTTGGTTCAGCAAATGATCTGAGGTTCGATGACGACTCACATCGAAAATCACTCACCGCAACCGCCTCAGCACCGAATATCAGTGAGCATCGACGAAAGAAGCGGAAAAATCTTTGCGGTCTACTCAATCATCCGACACATTTTAATAGGCTCTGTAATCTGCAGTAATATTCCACAACAAATGCTTGCTTGGCAAACAATAACTTCCAATGAGTGAAAATTCACTGCCACTCAGCATTTATTGCCGCAATTATCGTATTCTTATTGTACGCAGCTACTACTGATGAGAAGCTGCAACAATCTGCTCAAAGCATTCATTCCTGTATCGCTAATGTAAATGTTTCTGTATCGCTATTTTTGCTGTTCCTACAGTCTGGTCAAGTAATTTCAGTTTGCTTGTAATTATGCAATTAAAACATAAAACTTTTGCGATATCCTCATATTAAGTCGTCTGTACTCGAGATTTTATTACGATGATTGATAGGCAGAAATGAAGAGCGTTCACTAACTGATAAGATAAATTGAAAGCAAATAGTGCACACGAAAAGGTTAAGTAAGCATCAGATGCTTCCATTGATATTATTATAATGAAGATATTAATAAGAAATATGTTCAGATAAGTCTAATCAGCAACCAGCAATTCAAATGATTTATCAGCATTTGATAGCAAATATATGCCATTGTATAAACGATTAATTTCTCTGTGATCATCGATATGACCGATATATGAAACAGTGCAAATAAATTCATCCCGTATACAATCGCATTCACATTTGATAATATAATTTCTGACCGCAGCAAACATTAGTCAACAAGGAATATCCTTTTGGCATCGTGTTATCATTCGATGATTGTAAATATGCTTGGTATTTGTTCATCTAAGATATGAGCGATTTGTGCGATTGTGCCGAATCGTTTCTCGCATTTGATATCGCATCATTTGAATAAATGCACACTTTTGATATTACTTTGCATCAGTAGTCGCCCGATCACGACACCATTTCTTCAGCTGAAACGTAATCGAATTGACGATTACGTTTGCTGCTGCTGCAGCACCACAATAACTCAACGATTCACCACATTATCCAAGGCATGAAGTAGAATTCGAAAATTAGGCGACGAGCCACGTGGTTTTTCCTGTTGATGTCCCTAAGTCTTTGATAATTCGATATTCCGAGAAGAGATTTTCGCTTAGAATCAACGTGATCACTATGAAAGATTGAGACTTGATCAGTGGGTGATCACAGACAGTCCGCTTGAACGGGCTTCGACCGATTCGCGTTTTCGCCTATTCTTCAAACGTTGCTTTCTTGAAGAGAGGATATATTGCTGATGATGTTGATTTCCATTTTCTGAAAGCACTTATTGCATTTATCAAATAAATTTCCACGCAGATCTTACAGGAGGATGTGCGAATCCAATTGCAACAACAATCTTTGCGCTGTACTACACGGCAAAGATGATATTCGTATGGAACAACGAGAGGTGCCGAAACCGAAACCGAATCAATTACTCATCAAGATTCATACAGTTGGTATATGTGGCACGGATGTACACTATTGGAAGCATGCAAAAATCGGCGAATTCACCGTTACTAAGCCTATGGTACTCGGACATGAGTCCAGTGGCACTGTGGCGGCCGTCGGCTCTGACGTTAAAGGTTTCAGCATTGGTAAGTGTGTATCTTTCGTAGACATTCACTTTTAGCTGTGTATTTCAAGCAGTGCATTGCACTCCACATTTGCTATTGAACTAAAAGTGAGTACTGCCTAAGTAGGTTTTTGAAATGTGAGATTTGAATTTTTACTCACTTGTGTTAATTGTTAAATACTCCTTCATTTCACATAATTGCTGTTGGAGGCAACGATCATGTATTTAGAGGGTATTTTTAACACTTCTGTGGTGATGGCATCTGATTGAACATATTTTAACATTTGAACAGTTGCAATTCCGATCGATCATCGAAATTATTCGGTAATTGTTCGGAATCCAGGCTTAGCAGTTCTGACCGAAATTGCCGGGTTTTTCTGATCGACCATCGGTCGGATGCCATCACTATTGTTTTGAACTGAGAGCTATTCCGACCGATCGGTTCAGTAAGGTTATGATTGGACAAATAAAACCTTAATCGCCAAAACAATGGTCCTCATCAAGATGCGATCATTTCA